TCAATTCCAAAACGACGTCGTTTTGGAAGTAAATACAGATAACTTATTTGCGTTAACTGCAGAAATATTTTTCGATTTATTTAAATATAATCAGTCAAATACTTTTTAAATTTTAAAAATATCTCTATGTAAATATTCAATATTATTTTTCCTTTATCAGAATCTCTCTCCTATCTCTTAGATATTCTCCTCTCGTTAGGATTTGTTAATCCTTGTTAGGCAAAAAAAAATTAATTATTTCATTTTAATTAAATAATGACATATTTATTGCAGTTTCGGGAATAATTACGAATTTATTGCACACTGTGACGCCCAAAATGTGACGCCCCAGTGAGGCGTCTCACCCTAGGGGAAGACGTCCCAATGAGGCGTCTTTCATCTGGTGTTGACACGTGTCATACTTTTTTCCAAAAAAAAAATAATTTAATCAAAAAACTTCTGAAAGCCATAACTTTTGACTCGGGTATCCAAATCAGATAATTCTTTTTTTGATTCCACATAACTTTTTGAGATCTACCCAAAGACATCTCATTTCATTTATTTTATTTCTCACAAACACAATTTAAAATTGCCTCCCATATATAGTGTTTGTAGCCTTTTCATGGTAGTCTTTTCATTTGCAAGGATTAGTGAATAAAAAATTGTGATTCGAATTGCATAAATGACAAATAGGAATTTAAGAAAAAAGGGAATAAAACCGAAATCCCAATTCTACGAAATAGTGTAGACTGAGAAAAAGGTTCCTTTTTTAAACCCAAAGAGAGGGGATGGTAAATTCGTAATAGAATTTTTACCGAACTAATCTAGTGTGTCAATGATTGACTCTTCTTATAAATAAAATGAATAGCTGTAAAAAAAATGAATAAGGCAAATATACAAATTACAAATAATAACGTCATGATTCAAATCTAAACTTAAATGCAAATAGTAACATCATCCTATAATTCAAATGCCGATATGATCCTAGTCAGATTCTAGTCATCCTATAATTCAAATGTAGATATGATTCTAGTTAGATCTTAGTCATTCTATAATTCAAATTGTGATTCGAATTGCATAAATGACAGTGTGCAATAAATTCGTAATTATTCCCGAAATTGCAATAAATGCGTAATTGTTTAACTAAAATGCATTAAATTAATTGTTTTGCGCTCCTTGTTAGGATACTATTTTATCTTATTAGTTTCTCTCCCTTAAATCAGGTATTAGGATTATCTTATCATCAACGTCCTTAACTTTGAATTGAAGTTTGTCATTGAATCTCATGTAAAAGTATAGGGGGGAGAAGATGGAAAAGATCCAAATTAAAAATGCAAATATTATTTTTCTACAAATTTGTGATACTATTAGAGATGCAACTATAAGTGGGTGTGTGTATATATATATATATATATATATATATATATATATATATATATATATATTAAGAATTCGAAATACTAGTCAAGAATGGATAGTATTACATTTAATTAAAATATAGGTAGAAAGCCTAATTAACCTAGATGGATTATGGAGAAAAAAAAACATTTAATATACAATTAGGGAGATGGACATAGGTCATGAAGTTGAAGGAAACAAATAGGAGGAGAGAATATTGTTTTCAAAATCAAATCTTCCTTTATTTTGTATTTTCTAAAATAAATATTATCAAATAATTCTTTAAGATTCTATTTTTTTTTAACTTCATGAATATTTTAGATTTTTCTTAAAAAATATATATTTGATAAACTCGTCCACTTTCTTCTTCCGGGGAATAAGGAAACAAATATGAGGAGAGAATATTGTTTTCAAAATCAAATCTTCCTTTATTTTGTATTTTCTAAAAGAAATATTATCAAATATTATCAAAATCACATTCACATTCACGTGTAAAACCTTGTCTTTGCCTTCCTCTCACTCTTATATAAGTTTAGTTTCGTTTCGTTTCCCGGCAACTTTGCAAAACAGAACCACTCACACTCACGCATAATTACTTTGTAAAACCCAAAACCTTTAGGATTTAATGCTTATGAACCTTGTCTTTCCCTTGCTCTCCCAAATTTTCCCGAGAAAAATTTCCAGCTTTCCTTTGCGCTCTCAACACCACACTGGACGCAGTGTGGTTTTTCTATTCTTCCCGTCTTGTTTTCACTGTATGTTTTTCTTGCTCTCTTTTTTTCTTCCCGTAAATGGTATTGAGGGGTCTTGTTGAAGCACACAAGTATGGCGACGAGTCAAAGAAATCTGATGTAGGAGCTTGGAACATAGCTCCCCTTAACTGGGACTGCTTTATTGGATTAGTAAAAGTTGTGGGACCTTGTATGTGTTAACCCGCTTGCACAATTTCATACGGTGAAATCCTTAAGTATAAAAATAAATAAAATAATTGATGTACCTGAAAAACAGAATTGGGGAGGTTACCCATTGAAGTATTAGCAATTTGTGAGCATAGACCTTGCATTCTAGCGCTGCTGACGATTGCGTTGTCATTTCTTTTCTATTCTGCCTAGTGTAGGAACTATTAACCATTGGTGGATGTAAACAAAGAAGTAAAATTTAAGAGGATATAGCAATGGTTATGCGGCAACAGTATAATAATTTGGCTTGCCATGTTTTTATTTGTAAGGAGCATAATAATTTTATTAGCAGAACTAAAGGACATTGGTAGAGAGTGTTAAAATCAATTCACAATTATGAGCGCTTTGGACATGACGGCGCTTTTATTACCCTCTTAAATTATGTAGAGATGTTATGTGAATGGAAAACCAAAGACACCTAATTAATGACTGAAGACAACCAAATTAAATGGCGGGATTTATATTAATGTTAATTGTTAATCTTTGGCAAAACTAAAGTTAAAACAGAAAATTAAATAACAGGTATGCATGGTAGGCTTGTATTGAAAGCCCAGAAAGTACATGCATTTTATTGGAATAGTAGATGTGAATTCGATTGAGTTTGAGGATGATGCTTTGCGTTAAAGACATTACCTAATGTGACTATTGGCTAGTGGGAATTGTGATGTGTTGCTCACATTTGTTCTATGATGTTATGATGATGATGAGCCAGAAGAATAGGGATGATATGATATATGCATGCATTTTACATCATAATACATTTTTCTGTTGGGTGCGATTTTGGCATAACGAAGACAGATTATATATATATTTGTATTGAGGACGTGACTGAGCATGCATCATAAGGCATGCCTGGTACCAGGAGAGGGGACACTTGAGTGCATAATTCTGATTCAAGGTGAAATTTCTACGCGGAGTGCTATGAGCAAGAAAAAGGATATACGGTTATGAGGATGAAAAGGATTTGTTTGAAGTGACTATTTATGATTTTGTGCCTAGTTAATATTGATGCATTATGGTTTTGTTGCCACACTACTGGGATTTTCTCTCACCCCTTTGGGGCTGCTATTTTTACGGCAGGAGGACGTAAAAGCTTTTGAGAACTTGGATATTTGTTGTTGGTTTCTACTGTTTGGCAGAAAAAATTGATGTGAGATGGATGACTGCATGAAACTAAGAAGCTTTTATTACTGTTATGATTTTATTATTGCATTACGATTTTATGTTTTTGGAAATATTTGAAACGTTTGTGTTTGGATTTTGACATGTTATCTTTGAGTTTTGAAAAGTTTTTTTTTTGTAAGTTGTCGCACAGGGGCTTTTTTTTCTTATAATTTATATGCACGCGTAGCCCCAGGTGTCTAGTTTCATTATATATAAACCTTGCAAAGAAATTCTGAAAGATCGATTTATTATGAATTTTACCACCCAGAACATTTGGGATACTTCCACTATTTTCTATCTTATTTTGCGAGTTATGTTTTGAGGGTCAAAAGAACTCCAAATCACTATTATTTTATATGAACGTGAAGCCCCGGATGTCGTTTCTAGATTATTTATTTGAATCGTTGAAGTGAATTTTATCGAATTTTTAAAACAGCAAGGTTGTGCCAGGAAAGTTATATTTTCAGTAGTTGGGAAATTTTGAAAGTATACTCTGATTTTGTGAAAAGGAGTTTTTAATTGGCATTGTAAAAGTGATTTTCAGTCTCTAAAATACAATTAAAGAACTCTAATCCGCTTAGCAAACAACTCTCTTGGATGCATACAAGGGAGGGTGTTACACAATGCAACGATATTTTTTGTTAAAGATAATTAGAGTTTTTAAATAATAAAATATATTTTAATAAAGGAAATAGGAAACAAAAGGAGAGAATATTGTTTTCAAAATCTCTTCCTTTATTTTGTATTTTCTAAAATAAATATTATCAAATAATTCTTTAAGATTCTATTTTTTTTTATGAATATTTTAGATTTTTCTTAAAAAATATATATTAATAAAGGGGAATAAGGAAACAAATATGAGTAGAGAATATTGTTTTCAAAATCAAATCTTCCTTTATTTTGTATTTTCTAAAAGAAATATTATCAAATATTATCAAAATCACATTTCATTCACAAAACCTTGTCTTTGCCTTCCTCTCACATATAAGTTTAGTAGTTCAGTTTCCCGGACTTTGCAAAACAGAACCACTCACACTCACGCATAATTACTTTGTAAAACCAAACCTTGTCTTTCCCTTGCTCTCCCAGCACCAACACCACACTGGACCTTGTTTTCACTGTCTGTTTTTCTTGCTCTCTTTTTCTTCCCGTAAATGGTATTGAGGGGTCTGGTTGAAGAGGTTTCGGCGCCGAAGTCCATGGCGACGAGTCACATGAGAAACCCTCTTCACAATTTCACGTTCCCTTCCCTTTTCCTGAATTGGGGAACCCAGAGGAGGAGCATCAATTGCACTAGCGCTGCTGACGGCGCGGGAGTTTCCGGGTCAAAGACTGAGGAATCAATGGCGGCACAGAAGGTGCTTCATCAATTGCACTAGCGCTGTAACGGCCATAAAAGTTCAAAGACTGAGGAATCAATGGCGGCACAGAAGAAGGAGTCGGAGCCTGAGAAGAAGCTTGCGGTGTATGTGAGGCGTTCAAACAGCTCCGCGAGGATGAATGGCGTTGCATGAGGCAGAAGCTCTTGATCTCAAGAATCAGGCAGATAGGTTGAAAGAAGCGATTTTGGCTAACGAAGAAGAAGAACCTGTCAAGCTTTTGCCACTGATAAGGTGAAATTTCACGTGGAGTTATCCAAGAAGGAGGTTGAGGATTTTCATGGAGATGTTGGGTTGTCGCCCACCTCGCAGGCCCCAAGAGGCCCAAAGTTGTGCAGAAAAAATTAGATGTTCACATAGTGGTGGAAAACCATTGCTCTCAGCACTTAGCACCTTAGTTTTCATTATTTTTTGCTTCTGTGTGGTGCGTCCTGTCCTTGCTCCTTTCATTGAACGCAAAACAGACTCTTATTCATGGGACAGGCCACAGTTGATGGGTGTGTTGATGGGAACTTTTTGTTTGTGCATTTATCACAGATTTTCTTGGTACACACCATATTGTTGGGGCTTTTATTTATGGACTAATCTTACCTCATGGGAGGTTTGCTGAGTTGGTGATGGAAATGACAGATGATTTTGTTACTGGGGTTCTATCCCCTATCTACTTTGCTGGTTTTGGCTTAAAAATCAACTATTTAATGATTGTGACCCAGCCAAAATGGCATGTGATGTTGCTCATTATGCTGCTGTTATCCATCCCTAAAGTTCTAAGCTCCTTAATTACCACTTTCTTCTTTGGTATGTCTGCTCGAGATGGTATAGGCATTGGATTGCTTCTCAACACTAAGGGCATCATGGCATTGATCCTGCTAAGCGTTGCCTGGGACAGAAAAGTAAGTAATAATCAATTACCAACTTCATTTCATTCTCCTTTTTTTTTTGCAAATATGTAAAACTGGTTTCTTTGTGAATTTAGTGCAGAAGCTTGCCACGGATAATGGAAAACTGTACCTGTCTTTGCAGGTCACTGGGGAGTTACTAGATAACTTGACAAGTTGGGATGTATTGCTAGCTGCATTACCTGTTGGTATAGTTAGTGGAGCACCAAAGGTAAATCTTGGCATCCTTCAAGGCTATAACCTAGGTGTTTGCAGTCTCTTTCTCCTCACTGATGTAGTTTCTGGTATAGATTGGCACTTCCCTTTCTGATATTACTTGTGCATACATAGGGATTGTTGAGAGAAAGGTGGGGTGGAAGGGGTTATCACTAAACATTCTTAGAACAACCACAACACTCTTTGTTGATTGTCACCAGCTTAAGATTGCAGTCTTGGTTTGACTATTTTTGTCCTAAATTGTTATCGTTATCTGTGCTGTACAACAGGTGAAAGCCATGGAGTTGATTGATCAGTTGGAAGTCACAAGACGTGGGCCATATAATGGGGTATTTGGAGGCATCTCTTTTTCTGGTGATATGGACATTGCCCTTGCTCTGAGTACCATAGTTTTCCCAACTTATACTCGTTTTTACACAATGTACCCGTCTAAGGATGTGAACAAACGTAGACAATGGGTTGCCCATCTCCAGGCTGGAGCAGGAATCATGGCTGACAGTGATCCAGATGATGAGCAAAGAGAGTGTGAAAACAAAGTTGCAGACCTTGCCCCTGCCATTGATCTTGCAGAAGCCACATTCTTTTTTTAAATGATTTGCAAAATCTTTATCTCAGCACTAGATCTTGCTTTTGTAGACAAAGGATATTTAGTCAACTTTTGAAGGATGGTCCTTGTTTGATATGTGCAAAGAAAAATTTCAACCTCACGTACCTAAATTCATTTCTGCCAAACTAGACTTTAGAACACTGCATTTAAACATAGATTCAGCAAACAATTGAAGTATAGAAAGTCAAAGACAGAAATAAATTCTTAGACGCTCTTTGTTTTGCTGATTCTTACAAAGATGTAACCAATTATGTTGGGTTGGTATTGTGATGCTAAAAATGGAAAGACAGACATGGCTTGGTACCATATCTGTAGGTGCCTAAAGATCCTATCAAAGTGACTTTCCTCTATTCTTAATTATCAGGTATCCAAACAGAAATTTAACTTACTAGAGTTGCAGTTGCAGACACAAGTAGTAGAAACATCCCAAATTACTTCACTTGAAAGGAAAAAAGACACATTCATGTTCTTGTTTCATTATATTAAATTCACATCATAAATTGAAGACAGAGACACCTGCTTAAACATTGTGGCCATTCTGCCAACACTTAAATAGAAAATCTACTACTTTTAACCTCGATAATTGCATATATTATAGAAGACCGTAGATTTTTGAACTCTAGGGAAGTTTAAAGGAAGTAAACAAAGGTTTTTCAAATTAAACATAAAGATATATTGAAAAACTTACAAGTATAGTAGTTACCCAACCACCATTTTCTTTCTCTTGGTTCTTTGTCTCACATCTTATGGTGGTAGGTTCACTGAAATTCCATCATGGAGATCCATAAATATACCATCTCTAGAAAAAAAAAATTCAAAATTTTCACATAAAATCTATGATTTGAAGTTGACACTGGATCAAGTTAGCACATATAAAATCAAATATATTATAATGGAAATTGTAAATATAAATGTACCCTCCTCAGCAAAAACAAAGTAATAATTATGGCATGAGCCATAGCTAAGTGAATTGCATTGTATGTAAGAAAGGAATCTAATCTTCATGCAAAATTTTTATGATTACTCATGTAGACAACATTTAAAAGTCAATCTGCTATAATTTCCAATTATTAAGCATCAAATTCAATACATGCTAATCATAGTGTAATGGCTACTTGAGTTACTATAAATAATCATCATGCATTAACCCAGATTGATACATCACATTTTCTCCAAAGAAGGAACTTGGTGAAAATAAAGATTATGCTATTGATGTAGTACATATAGAGATTTAGCATTTCAGGGGGGTAAAATTTAGTTCACCCTTTAATTACTATTTACATATAGAAAAGAAACAATTCATGTTACGAATAAAATTTCATCTTTTTGCTTGGTAGAGGCTAGAGTGGTTGTCAGTTCTTGGCAACAAATGACTTGACTGTGTTCTGTCTTTCACTTTTACTAAGAATTTTACAACTAAAATATTAAACTCACAAGTAACTAATGATGATCACAAGTTCATGAGGAATGTTAGCAATACTCTTTGAAATTCTCTTTTCAGCACTCTATTATCATGTCAACTTCTATGATCACGGGTTCAATTGCCTTGGGAGTCACGCCTAACTTTGGCGCGCCTAATATGGGCGCGAATGAGTGCAATAGATCCGTAAATAGTTTCGAAACAGCTATATATTTATAATTATCTATTAAAATAGTAATTTTTAATTTTTTTTGCTACTCAAATATGCTACTCAAATCCTGGAAAATGTAAATAAATCTTTAAAAAAAACTCAATTTTTCAAGCACAAAAAAACAAATATATTTTTAAGAGTCGACTATAAAGCAAATGTGAATAAATCTAGATTCTCACATTTGCTTTATATCCGAGAATTTGGTAGAGGAAAAAAAAAATTATCCAGGAATATCAATTTTCAGAAATACGATTTTTACATTCAGTTTACGATAATATACGAAAATTAAAAATTTAGAAAAATTCAATTTCCCGGAAATCCTGAAAAATTTCTTGTACCAAACGCCCTAAAGAAAACCCAATGACTCAAGCACCAACAAATACGAATATTTTTTTAACTTAAAATTAAGAAACTTTTGTCTGTATTTTTTTTTTTTAGAAATTGATTATAAAGGTCTTAAACTAATAAAGCATTGATATACGAAAACCTGAATAATACACTTGGATTGTATTATACAGAATCATCTTTTAGTTTAGATCCTCTGCTCCTCGAGTGTTATCAAATTCGTTTGTAGATACCACGTTATTTTCTATTAATTGTAGTGGTATATATTTTTCGAGACATTACTTATTTTTCAACGAATTTAAAGTTTAAAATAGTATTGACTGAGAGAAATGTTTAAAAAAGTTATTTTTAACTTTTTGAGAAGGCTTTAATGTTTTTAAAGTGAACGTAGATAAATTATTTACATCCGTTCTCAAAACGACGTTATTTTGATTTGAAAAATTAAAAAATTATAATTAGAAAAATTATGATAATAAGGAAAAATTATGATAATATATTGATTCGTTTTGGGCTCAATGTAGATAATTTATTTATATTTACTACAGAAAAAACGAACCATTTTCAAAAAATATAAATTTTAAAAAGGATAAATTTAAACATAAAAGAAAAAGAATAAATTGACAATTTACTGTGCCAAAATGTCCTTGACTCACTAACTAAAATAACCGAATGATATTCAGGGATGAGGGGAATAAATTTTCTCATATTTGATTTAACATGATTTTTTTTTTGGTGTGGGATTTAACATGATTTTATTATATAAAAGGGAAAAATATTTCTCCAGTCGATTGGAGATAAAATTAACTCCAGTGAATCCAAAACAATAAATTAGAATTATAAAAATTATAATGATAAAAATTAATATAATCCTAAAATAAACTAGAATTATAAAAACACCTTGATTTTCGTGACAAAATAACGTCGTTTTGGACTTATCAGAAATAATTTATCTCCATTGACCAAGAAATCCTTTACCCTATATAAAAATTGTGTATCTAGTAATCTCTTAAAAAAGTTTAACAAATTTTGATAAGATTTACTTATTAAACGTTTATGAAGAGAGAAATAAATACAATTAAATATGAGATGATCTACTTCTTAATTATAATATTCATTTTTCAATAACTATTACAATAGTTTCAATATATTTTGAAAACTAATTTGACTATTAACTCTAAATAAAAAGCTATACAAATTAATATATTAAAATACTAACTATCTACTCTTTTAATATTCTTATATTTTTGTCCTGTCTTAATTATTTGAGCAAACTTTTTAGTTATCTCAAGCCTTATTACATTTATAAAAGGGTTCGTTTTTTCTGCAGTTACTGCAGATAACTGCAGATAAGTTATCTGCAGTAAGCCCAATACGACGTCATTTTGGACGGAAATCATAGTGTTTTTGTAATTTTAATTTATTTCAGGGTTATAATAGTCTTTATATTTATAATCTTTTAAGATTTCAATACCAAAACGACGTCGTTTTGGGAATAAATGCAGATAACTTATCTGCATTAACCGCAGAAATATTTTTCCCTTTATAAAAACACACAAAACTGCAAAATACAATATCCCTAGAGAGAGGAAATAAAAAGTGCACCATACGTAATAAGCTATAACAATATAACATATCTCCCCTTTTATTTAAGGGTTCGCTTTTTTACTGCAGATAATCTATCTGCAGTAAGCCCAATACGATGTTATTTTAGGGCAGAAATTATGGTATTTTTTAAATTTTAATTTATTTCAGGATTATTATAGTCTTTATAATTATAATTTTCTAATCTTTCAATCCCAAAACGACGTCGTTTTGGAAGTAAATGCAGATAACTTATTTGCGTTAAGTGCAGAAACATTTTTCGATTTATTTAAATATAATCAGTCACACACATTTTAAATTTTAAAAATATCTCTATGTAAATATTCAATATTATTTTTCCTTTATCAGAATCTCTCTCCTATCTCTTAGAAATTCTCCTCTCATTAGGATTTGTTACTCCTCGTTAGGCAAAAAAAATTTAATTATTGTATTTTTATAATTACGTATTTATTGCATTTTCGGGAATAATTACGAATTTATTGCACACTGTCACGCCCAAAATGGGTGTCACATGTGACGCCCCAGTGAGGCGTCTCACCCTAGGGGAAGACGCCCCAATGCGACGTCTTTCATCTGGTGTTGACACGTGTCATACTTTTTTCCAAAAAAAAAAAAAAATAATGATAAAACTTTTGAAAGCCATAACTTTTGACTCGGGTATCCAAATCAGGTAATTCTTTTTTTGATTCCATATAACTTTTCGAGATCTACGCAATGACATCTCATTTGATATATTTTATTTCTCACAAACACAGTTTAAAATTGCCTCCCATATATAGTGTTTGTAGCCTTTTCATAGTAGTCTTTTCATTTGCAAGGATTAGTGGATAAAAAATTGTGATTCGAATTGCATAAATGACAAAAAGGAATTTAAGAAAAAAGGGAATAAAACCGAAACACCAATTCTACGAAATAGTGTAGACTGAGAAAAAGGTTCCTTTTTTAAACCCAGAGAGAGGGGATGGTAAATTCGTAATAGAATTTTTACCGAACTAATCTAGTGTGTCAATGATTGACTCTTCTTATAAATAAAATGAATAGCTATAAGAAAATGAATAAGGCAAATATACAAATTACAAATAATAACGTCATGATTCAAATCTAAACTTAAATGCAAATAGTAACATCATCCTATAATTCAAATGCCGATATGATCCTAGTCAGATTCTAGTCATCCTATAATTCAAATGTAGATATGATTCTAGTTAAATCTTAGTCATTCTATAATTCAAATTGTGATTCGAATTGCATAAATGACAGTGTGCAATAAATTCGTAATTATTCCCGAAATTGCAATAAATGCGTAATTGTTTAATTAAAATGCATTAAATTAATTGTTTTGCCCTCCTTGTTAGGATACTATTTTATCTTATTAGTTTCTCTCCCTTAAATCAGGTATTAGGATTATCTTATCATCAACGTCCTTAACTTTGAATTGAAGTTTGTCATTGAATCTCATGTAAAAGTATAGGGGGGAGAAGATGGAAAAGATCCAAATTAAAAATGCAAATATTATTTTTCTACAAATTTGTGATAC